TTGGACCCCTTATTGATGTATGCCCTTAATGGAACTCGAAAACATATTTTTCCAGCAAGACGACGCACCGCCTCTGAACGCTGAAGTTATCAGCAAATTTCAAGAATAATTGAATAGCTAACCAAGACCCCAGCCGTTGGCCGTCGAGTGCGCCTGACTTAGTTCCCATGGACCTAATCCCATGGATATATTTGCGGAAGAATAAAGGTTCCTTATTCTTCCGTATAATCTAGACAAGAATTAGAAATACTTAGCAGTTATGAGAGGGTATATTTCACACCTACTGAGTTAATGAATTCCGCGAGAAATGTTCAAAAACTGCCCCGTCTGTCCATAATAGAAGACGGCCGATATATCGAACACCTGTAGCAAAAATCTTATGTCTTGGTTTGCTATTTATTTTTATTGTTATTAGATATAGTTTAAATGTATTGATGTTGGTTAAATATATTTTAAATTGTTATAAAATTCTGCATCTCTCATAGCAAATATTATTTTCGTTTTAATTGATGCTCACAGCTAGAATTTTTTTGCATTACAGCCGGTGCCGTTCAAAGCCTACTTATTTAAAGCCGGCGAATTTTTATATACTCTATATCTCGAAGAGGAATCGAGCAAAATAAGTGTTTATAGTATTATAATATTATATAAAAAAGTGTGTTATATTTTTGGAAAGGTAATTTTAAAGTATTTTCAATAAATTAAAAATATACAGGGTGTCCCATATAAAAAATCAAATTTTCTGTTGATAATCCTTAAATTATTAATTTTAAAAAAATATACATAAACCATTAAATTCTACGTTAAAAGGTGCTTTGGAAATGTTTTCAGAAAAATACAAAATTTTCCATAGCAAAAAAGTTACAGCGATTTGTTAAAAATGCATATTTTTGAAAAACACCCCGTAACTCCGAAACGGTAACAGATATCGATATGCGGTTTTCACCATCATATTTTTAACAAAAATTGAGCTCCAGACACCGATAGTAGTTTTTGTCTATCTCCTATAGAAAAGGGCGTTTCCATTTAAAAGCGTCGAATTTGACCCACCCTGTACAGAATGTATTAGGCGAAATTTTATTATCTTTGACTTCCTCATTGACATATTCAGCATATAACGTCCTCAAAAAATCTAAATAGTAACAATGTTTATTACGAATGGTATTTTCGTAGACAAATAATTCTAGTTGCTTCTACCAGCCCTCCATTCAGTTCAATACATTTGTCGCATCTTTTTCTTAGATTAACAGTTACATTCCTAAGCTGCTGTGGTGTAATATTTGCAGAAGCCTCTGTAATTCTAATACGTAATTCATCTACAGATTGAGGTCTAGACTTGTAAACTTGTTGCTTTAAGAAACCCCAAAGAAAGAAATCAAGGGTGTTAGGTCCGGGGATCTCGGTGGCCACTCAATTAGCGGGCTATTTCGACCTATCCACTTATTTTCAAAATTTTCATTTAACCATTCCCTGACAACTGCCGCGTTATGCACAGGTGATCCGTCCAATTGAAATTTTAAATTCAAACGGGTTTGGCATGGTAAATTATGTATTGCATCCCAAAAGTCATTAATCAGAAAATTCAAAAACGTTGGACTATTCAAATTTCTCTCAAAAAAATATGGACCAATGATTCTATCATCAAGTATGCCACACCACACATTTAATTTCTGAGAATACTGTCTTCTTGTATTGATCACCCATTCAGGGTTTTCGACTGCCCAGAATCGCGAATTTTGAGAGGATACTACTCCGTTTGTACTAAATGTTGCCTCATCACTAAATAAAATTTCTTTTAAGAAATTTCTATTATTTAAATACTCTGCTTGAGCCCATAAGCAGAATTCTAATCGTCTAACATCATCTCCGTTTTCCAAAGTGTGTAAAATCTTTGGTTTAAAGGGTTTAACTTTATTAGTTCGCAAACATCTCCTAATATTTTCCCTTGGTATATCCAAATCAACACTGGCGCCTCTAATGCTTGCACGAGGATTGTTACGAAAATATTCTAATATTTCCTCATTCCGCCTATTTATTCGATGTTCCGGCCTTCTGTTTTTTAGTAAGTATTTTGACACACAACCAGTTTCATTAAAAACTCTATTTATTCGTTGAACCGTGCTTCTACTTACTGCAGGTCTGTCGGGATGTCTGTTGTTAAATTCTCTGGCAGCTTCTCCTGCTTGAAGATAGTTATCACCCACTAAACGAATAATTTCAATTTTATCCCTAATATTTAATTGTTCCATAATGCAAATAATATTTCTTGATACAACACTTTTCTGCGTGCTATTAAATTAATATTCAATTCTACGCTGCAAGAATTGACAGCTAATAAAACCCATTGTTGTGGATTGTTTTTTTCAAGGGTTACGTGATAACTCATCGTTAAATTGGCAAAAATAGGGAATTATTTAATTTAACTGCAGAATTATTAATAATTAATATTTTTAAACGAAATTTGGTACAGACTGTTTTGGGGGATGCCGAATGTAGGGTGTACTCAAATTTTTTGAAAAAAATCGCTAATATGATTTTGCAAATTTTCACCACAAAAACTTTATTAAGTAGGCCTTGTTTTTTGTGAAATAATATGACATTGAGCCCTAAAGTACATTTTTGAAACTTATATATATATATATATATATATATATATATATATATATATATATATATATATATATATATATATATATATATATATATATATATATATATATATATATATATATATATATATATATATATATATATATATATATATATATATATATATATATATATATACAGTGTGATATAGTCCGATTTTGATGATTTTTTTTTCAAATATAAAGTTTCAAAAAATGTACTTTAGGGCTCATATATATATATATATATATATATATATATATATATATATATATATATATATACAGGGTGTCCCAGAAATAAGTGCAAATATTTTAACTGGTAGTATAGTTCAACCCCAGAAACACGCCTATGAGGTTTTTTTTGCGAAAAAAAAATGTTGAAAATTTAAAATTTTTCTTGGCATTTGCCGGAAAATTTTAAAAAACTTTTTAGTGCCACTTGTTTATTCACCTGAGGTTTCTCTACGGTGTATCTAAACCTTGCAGTGTTGCAACCTCCTATGTTATCCACATTCTACATAGTTCTACACATAGACAAACAGAAAAATTAAAAGACTGCCAGAAGACATACGACGCGCAGGCAAATGTACCTGTAGCGCATCGACGCAAGTGCCGAAATACGTCCATCTAGCTATCTGTGTTTCGACACTAGTCCGTTAGTCTTAGCATATTCAGAAAGAACACGCTAACCTCCAGCGTTGCCAATTTGTGGGGAATTCCCCAAATTTTGGGGAATCCGGAGCCGATTGGGAATTTTGTGGGGATTAGCAATAGGCGGCGAAAATAAGGGGAGTTTCAACATTTTATTGCTGATTGAAAATGGCGTAAAATTTTTAGCTTTAAAAACGGAGCGGGACGATATATCTTTCCCAACTTAAAAATTATAATCTGCTTTTTACTTGTGCTTCCCTTTGCAAATGCTTCAGTTGAAAGAAAATTTAGTGACCTCAATTATTTAATGACTACTAGGGAAGGGATTAAAAAACAAGGAGGTAATTTACAGTTTAATCTCTCTAACATATATATAATAAATATTGTATTTTTATTAAAATTATTTTTTTTTTGTTAAAATAATCATATGGGGAATTTTTGGTGAATCGGGACATTTTTCTCCCCAAATTGGCGAATTTTATTTAGATTTTTGGGTAGTTTAGAAAATTGACATTGGCAACGCCTCTAACCTCATTCTTTTGTTTGTTGTTTGTTCAAAAAGCGGCACGCGGCGTAGTACAAGGCTTGATCATTTTTTAAGAAATTTTTGATTGTTAATTTTATTTTTCTGCAAACTAAACAGTTGTTTTTTATTAAAAAATAGCAGACAAAGGTAAGAAAGGTAATGTCCATGCCTAAGTTTTTATTTCACTGGCTATTCTTTCTAGAAATTATACCATCCAGCCCTCCTATTTAATTATTAAATGAAAGTGTGAAAGAGATATCAAGGACTATTCTGTTAAAATATCATCCGACCAGTCTAGGCCCTGTTGTGAACCAGAAGGTCTGCTAAGTTGGATGTTGGATATAGAATGGAAGGAATATCATGGCCGAGAACAAGGCATAATTTTATGTCCCTTGATGTAGGGGGTAGGTTTTTTTCTAATAGGCAGTAAAACCAAAAATTCTACTGTGAATCTTCATATTCTAGGCCTGTAAAGATAAATAATTCCTGGAGCCATCTCGAGGTATAGTACTCAAGTCGGAGCGAATCAATTGATAGCACGATGAAAAGAAATAATAGCCATCATAAAACTGTAAATATGTATATAACTAGTACAATGTAGCTATTTAACTGTAAGTACAATGTAGCTAGATATTTAGTAGAATAGGGGTATTATAAATTAATACAAAATACAATAATTGGTCATTCTTTCCATTCCCATTCAATTCTTCCCATTTAATTGTTTCCCATAAAAAAAGGAAAATTAAAATTAAGAGTGCCCTTAACCAAAAATAGTGAAATAAATGGAGATAGTCAAATTTTATATTAGCGTGTAAAGACTTGTAAAGGTGTAAAAGGATTATAAATGCTGTATTTATATCCTTTAATATCATGATAATATAAAATTTGACTACCTCCATTTATTTCACTATTTTTGGTTAAGGGCACTTTTAGTTTTAATTGCCTGAAAAATAAGAATAACTATAATAATAATTTAAATCTCCCGCCCTTTCATAGTTCGTACCTGTAGCCAAGTAGAGGGCGCCGAAAGCGGAATCTCCTAACATTTTACCACGCGATTTGCCACTCTCTAAACTATTAACTTTCTCTATGGAGCCAGGCCAAAACTGCTATAAAACGTCGAAAGACCTAATTGGGAGGCCGGGTCTGCGGATTTGGCCTTTCACCACTTTTGAATAAATAAAACTGTGTATCTACTGACCCGCAATTACGTCATACAATTCTGGCTTGGTGACGTCAAACTGGCCACACGGAGGCTCCACACAGTAGTCCTGCCATGGTTGCCAGTTGAAGCATGTTACTAAGTTGGTGTTTTGCCAACCTTCTCCTACGTGGGCTGGAGCATCAAATTCAGGCAGTACCCTCACACCTCTGAAATATATTTATCTTTTTTAGGTTATTCGACACTCCTATATACGTTACGTATGTGTTATTAATATCACCAACAGAGGCATTTACCTTTCTTTGCCATATTGGATAATCTCTTGGACATCTTGAGCAGTGTAAACCTTATCCGCAGAATAAGCGCCATATTTGGATAGTTCCGGTCGTGATTTGGACACATAAGGAAAACTATGAGAGTCAGTAATGTGCCAGTGAAAAGTATTTAACTTTGCCGCTCCCATTGCCGTTAGAGTCTTCTTAATGCTTTCAACCTAAAATTAAACGAGAATAAATTTAGACAAGGCATTGTAGAAACGATCGAAAAAAAACGGTGTCAAAGATGGCTGAGGAATGACAATCGATAATTTTGGCGAGGTCAAGCCCTAGACGTCATTCAGTTGGCCCGTACTCTTAATTTTGTTGTTGTTTTGTTAAACAGTTGGCTTTAAAAATGTTTGGCTGTAGTTTATTTTTATATTGAGTAAAAATGGTTTTTAAATGGTGTAGTATAAAATTCGAGAAAAAGTATTTCTTTTAGAAATAGAGTTGGCTTTCTATAATCAATGTTTATTTTAGTGAAGTTTCATGTCAATTTAGTAATGATAATTTTTAGTAATGTCTAGAGATTAGCCTCGCAAAAATTATCATCGATTTTCATTTCTCAGCTGTCTTTGACGCTGTTGTTTTTTTCGATCATACGGTATAGCTATTCCTGTGTGATTCGTTAAAGCAACCAAAATTAGTAAATATTTATCATTAATATCATTTTAAGGGTTGCTATAGTCTGTTCAAATATAGAGTGCATGAGAGTGACAGTTGTTTTATGTCATTTTAATTCGAAAGTTTATTGTTTTCTTTTCGGTTACCGTTATAAAATTTCTGGAAGTATCTAGTAGAATTCCTCGATAGTGATATGCAGGTTTATCGGTGATGAGGACATCTCTGGCAATTTGCAATTCGTCCCTTAAATCGTCAAAAATTATCAGTTGATTCAACGTTTCCAGCCCATGTCTAGCACCGAAAAAATTTGTTGCGGTCACTAAAGCTTGAACTCGACCATCTAAAATTTATTGAAAATCGAGATTAACACTTTATACAATACTAACCAAAAAAACGACGTCAGAGATGGCTTAGAAATGAAGATCGCTGTCATATGTGTGAACTTATATGGAGAATGTCATCGATCGTCATTTCCAAGCTAACTGGACGCTGGTTTTGTGGCCAATATCTAATCAGTTACCTATCAACAACATTTATAGTGGCCATGCCAATATTATACATCTTTATTTCTTAATTATAATTAGATAACAACTTTTTGTAGTGGAAGGTAATGAGTTGCGAGATTCGGCTTTTTTTACATTTTATAGTTTTGTTGGGATAATATTTTACCTGAAGATTCAGAAACTTTAAGCGTGTAACTTTCATCTAAGTCTAAACTGAATTGATCGATATTGGAATTTTTAATGTCCAAAGTAACGACTAAAGATTTTCCTCCTTTGGGTACGACATTCCTGAAACAATTATTAAATCATTTATTGCTTCTCTATCTCATTATAGCATGATATAAAATACGAAGGTTGTTTTTTATATTTTGCATATAGAAACATAGTAGCAAAGAATATTATAGTTAGTAGTAGAATTATCTTTGCCAGAAGTAACTGCTGAGTTTCCAAAAACCAACCCTCAACGACGAAAAATCCTCTACCAAGGCAATGCCAGTTCCCACACAGCTCGAAAAAAAATGATGCTTTAAAGCAAGAAGTCATTGAATTGTTGGACCATCCTCTATACAGTCCCGACAATAAGTTCTAACGACTTTTTTTCTTTTCCAAAAATTAAGAATAAACTGTGTGGTCAAATGTTCCAGTCCCCAGAAGATGCAGTCATTTCTCTTCATAGGGAATACAATACATCGAAAAACAATAGTTTTTAAAAGTTATGTACTGTTTTTTTCTACCTCTATATGCAATATTGTATAGGGTGTTTCAAAACAAATGCGAAAAACTTCAGGGGGTGATTCCTTGTTCAAAATAAAGGGTAGTTTGCTTCATAAACGTTGGGTCAAAAGTCAACCATTAGAGAGATATTGCGGTACAAAGATGGCGGAAAAATAATGTTTTTATTTTTTATCTTGAAAACGAAAAGAGATAGACTAAAAAATTTTATGGAAGCATTGCTGTTATGAAAACACACTTGGTAATTTTTTCACTTTTTTAAAATGAGTGGAAGGGGTTGAAATAAACTACCCCTATCATTCTTGTTAACGAAATTTAAAAGAAAAATCTTATCAAACACATGCAAAAAAATTAATTTGGATAGTTTAGTTTGTTTAGAAACTGTTTTATCTCTTGTATTTTTTGATAAAACTCACCGATTTGAAATTATAAAATAAAATATAATGCATTACATGCCAGGACAAAAAACATTTTCTGATAAAGAATCTAGTGGGCTGCTGTAATTTTTTTAATCATAAGAAAAAATCTAGTCGGCCGCTGTTACTTTTTAGGATGTTCCTAATATTATTTTATTTGACATTACTCTACTGCAATACGTTATTATCTAGATGATTATTATTATCGTTATTATCACTAGATTCTTAATCTAAAAATGTTTTTTGTCCTGACATGTAATGCTTTACATTTTATTTTTTAATTTCTAATCGGTGAGCTTTATCAAAAAAACACAAGAGGTAAAAAAGTTACTAAACAAACTAAACTATCCAAATTAAAGCATTTGCATGTGTTTGATAAAATTTTTCTTTAAATTTCGTTAACAAGAATGATATGGGTAGTTTATTTCAACCCCTTCCACTCATTTTAAAAAAGTAAAAAAATTACCTGAAAGTGTGTTTTCATATCAGTAATGCTTCCATAAAATTTCATTAGTCTATCTCTTTTCGTTTTCAAGATAAAAAATATAAACATTATTTTTCCGCCATCTTTGTACCGCGATATCTCCCTAATGGTTGACTTTTGACCCAACGTTTATAAAGCAAACTACCCTTTATTTTGAACAAGGAATCACCCCCTAAAGTTTTTCGCATTTGTTTTGAAACACCCTGTATAAAAACAACCGTCGTAATAGTAATTTTTAAAAATATGAGTTTTTTCTGGTGTTTTTTTTCCACGTGTGTCCACTTGCAAGTTACCTACTTGCGAGAGTTTTCTCAGCAAATACTCGCTGGTCTATGAGCTTTAGATAGATAGATAAAATTTATGATAAAATTTGCCCTATTTTTTTAGATTTTCTGACCTACCTTGATACCAGAACTTCAATATGTTTTCTGAATATTTTGGAAGCTCCTCTGACCAGTGAGAAAATTGGACTTTCAGATTTTGCACCCAATATATCAATACTATTGATGTTGATCGCTGTCAGAAAGTTTCCTACAGACACATCTCCTGTAGGTTTGGGCCATATTGCTGCAACATCCGCACAGAATATTCTACGAAATTAATCAACAAATAGAGGATATTAACATAAAAAAATTATTGCAATAATTATTACCTGCAAGCTGGCAAACTTAAGGCAGTGTTTTCAGTCTCGTTAGTGATTGGTCTTTTTTGGCAGTAGCCTTCCACACATTCATATCGCCATGGTGATTTTAAGGCACTGAAAAAAAATGTACTAAATAGTGATAGGTGATATTTTTAAAAATCGATACTATAATATAGGAATAGACGTCAAAAAGCCTATATAGGATGTCCCATTTTCGTGTGTTTTAAGAGTTTATTGTTTATGGGTAACTTTTAACCGTACTATTTTTTTATGAAACCAAAGTTGCTACACATAGATTTGCCCTAGCATCTCAGTTTCTGAAATACCGGGCAAATTTTAAAATGCTAAAAAAATAATTTTGATTATTTCTCAGAGACTTTAACTATAGAATGTTCGGGTCAAGTTTCGTTTAGCCGAAATCTGTTAAAAAAGAAAAAACAATTTTTTTGTCTTTTAGGTACCTCAGGCAGTATATTACTGAAAAAATTTTGCCGCGGAAACGCGTCACCATTTTTTGAATGCGGTTTAAAAGTAACGAAATGACATACATGAAAAATTAATGTTATTTCATATTTTAGACGTCTTTGTAAATACTAATACGAAAATGAAATTCCGCGGAAATGCGCTGTTGCCATTTTTTTGAATATGGTTCACAAGTAACGAAATGAGATATATAAAAAACTAATATTATTTTATATTGTAGACTTATTTTTAAGCACCGATACAAAAATGAAAATCCGCGGAAATGCCTTGTTTCACCACTATGCAGTGATCTTCTTCCCGACCTTTGACACAGATCAATGAATATTATCTATTCTTATCAACTTAATATCGCTATGGTCAACAAATGCGAAAATTTAAAAACAATTGTCAATAAAGCATAAAAACGACAACTAAACCAAACCAACTAAAACCAAACCGAAAGTATGCAAAATAGTTGAGAATACTATGGAAAACTTAATATTGAAGATTTTCCATTACACCGCCCTTATGATAGATTTCCGCGGAAATAGTTATATAGAAAAGTTATAGCAAATTATTAATCAAACAAAAATATGTAGTTTTTATCTTCCTATCACATTTCGGCACTTCTAAACCCGGAAAAATCAATGAAAATTATTGTGATAAAAATATATTTTCGAATAAAAATTAGATCACATTGTTATATTAAATGTTTTTACTGGTCATTCTATAATGAAAAAACTATTAAAAACACCGTAAAGTTTTTAAATTTTAGTTAATAATAGAAAAATTAAAAATTCGGAGTTTACTCAAAAAGCAAAGAATTTCCATGGCAAAAATCAAATTATGTAGTGCTAGTTTTCTTGTATAGAATCATCCTATAAACCGATATTCTATATAACTGATTTCGGCTAAACGAAACTTGAGCCGAATGTTCGGCCATCGTTCACTGTCACATCATATATTGTCGAACTCTCTCAGTCACTTGTCAACCAGATGAAAGAGATTAGTGATGTGACAAATCTTTTCGGATTAATCACTTGTCTATGGGTAGCGTGACTATTTTATAATTATGAAAAAACAATTAAGTTGAACGGAAGGCAAACTTGGATAAAAAGTACACCGACTCTTTGGAGCGTATGTTTAATGCTTTGTCTTAGTGCCTGTTGGTCTCTCAAATCTATTATAACTTACCTTAATTACGGCCCGACCTCTGTCTGTAAATATGTAGCTCATTTCTCGAGACTTTTCGGAACTGCTCTGGAGATATTCTGCCCGTTCATAAAGATCTTATTTATATACTTTTAAAACACTCTTGGTTATTTTACTACAGAAATAAAACGGCTGAGTTTTTAGAAAACATTTAAATTTAATATTAAAAAGAAAATAAAGAACAAATAAAAAAATATATATATATGATGATCGAAATTACTTGTTATTACTAAAAATGGAAAGAGATGGAAAAATACAAGAAAATTGTCTGGTGTCTGCTTTGTTGAAAAATCTGATAATTACATAATCAATTGAACCTTCATTACTAAATCTTACTACAACACATTAAAATAATTTTAGAGAAGAAAATTAAAAACATTTGACAAAGGACATAAAAAAAATACTATTAGTAGACACCAGACTTAAAAACTACAGGGGGTCACATCGTGAACCTTACCGAATTCCTTGAACCCGAGAGAACCGTGTCTTTTAAAAACTTAAACCGAACTAACTTTTCTGCCTAAAAACAGCCCTGAGGTTCCAACATTACAGGGTTGAAGGGTGGTGCATTCGGTACTTTTTGCCAATAGGATCATCCCTAAAGGTACTGTTCTTTGCTTGATTGGTCAGCTTGACACCGCCCTTCAAACCAAATTGGTTCGACCTCCCGTTGTTAGATGGCAGTACTATGACCATTTTACATATTTAATTCTCGTTTATGTCTAGATACGTGCTTTCCTAAAGTTCCCAGATCCTTTACAAACATCCGGCGATAGTTACATGTTATCAAGGGTTGGTTGTTGGTTTTACAATGTCCCAGGTTTTATCTAAGGTCTATCTTTACAATTTTCTGTTTACTTCTAAGTTCTACAGTTTATTTGCTTTGCCCTTCTATAAGTTTGGGAATTTAAAAATAGTCACGTTTGAAAGATGTTTGTTTTATTACTTCCTGCTAAAAGACCCTCTCCCGAAACGAATAACCGAAAACATCGACTTGAACGTAAAGGACATAGGAAATAATCTGTTAATAATATAAATAATAATATAAAGGAAATAATCTGTTACAGTGATGTCATTACGGTATTTCTTAAATTACTGCATATTCTTTTTAAATAAACAACGCTTTATTGTGCAAAAAGCCAAAATAGCTTCATCGACAACGCATTTACAAAACAAAAGCACAAAAAAAATACAATTAATATAAAATATCATACAATACAAATCAATTCAAAAAAATTTACGTCATTAAAATTACAAATAAAACAAACATGGACATTGCAGAACACAGGACACAGGCGTATCAATAAAATTTTACAAAAGGAAAACTGTAAATGGATAAAATCATGTAAGAGTTATAGAATATTAAATATTAAATACTAGACCTTTAACCAGTGTGTGAGATGATCAAAATTTTAAAATTCAAAATTGTTCATGATTAAACATCAACAAAAAAGTCGTTTACCGCATATAGGGCTCTCTCCAATAAGTATGATTTCAGAGCTTTGCGAAATGCGGTAAAGAATGAAAGCGACTTGATATTCAAAGGCAGATGATTGTATTATACATTTTTTTTGGCATTGTATAGTATTGAGCCTTTAACTAGTTCTGAGCTCATTCCTAAGTGGATAGTTGTGAGATGGCCTTTCCGGAATAGCAGATATGTGCTTGCGGATTAAGCAAACGGATTCAAAAATGAATAGGGAAGGAAGAGTCAGTATTTTGAAATTTTTAAAGAAATTCTGGCAGTGAGTTCTACTGTTCAGTCTCAATAAATATCGAACTGCTTTTGAAGTTTAAAAATACGATCAAACCTTGTCGCGCAGCAAGTACTCCAGAATGGAAGGGCATAACGAAGATGCGACTCAATTTTCATCAATGTCAAAATTAAAATTTGATTTTTGCTGTAAAACAAAATTCAAATTTTTTTATTGCAAAAATACCTCAGAGATTTATCAAAAATGAACAAGAGCTCACTGCTAAGCTTATAAATTATTTTTCTCGAAAAAGAGACGCTGGTAGAATACTCTTGCCGTGGGCGCCGTATATGAAGTAAGTAAAATGCAAAGGTGTAATATTCCTATGTAAAATACAAATTGATAACGTTTTTAAATAATACAGCGAGTTGCTGATGCTTTAGAAATAGAAATTTCAACAGTCCAAAGGGTTGGAATTAAAGGGCTCGTAACCGATGAAGAGTTCAAGAAAAAATGAATAAATGCCGAAAAAAAAACGGAACTTGCTCAATCAATAATATAGGAACGTTCTTAAAAGATTTTAAACAATATGAACTGATCTCAGACATACCCTAAAACTCATATTTGACAAATAATGATGACGTAACGGCGAACGATAGCTAAACAGTCTTTACATATTTGTTCTTATTTTTCTTTAAAAGAATCATATATATAGTGTATATTATAGAATAATAGAAAATTTATTGACGATGTTGTTAAATAAATGTGGCAATTTATCACTGATCATTAATATTCATTAATATTAGTAATGCATTTTTTTTCTTTAATACTTACCTGATGTCAACGACCAAAAGACTAGATATTAAAATCGGTGCCAGTCCAAACCAAAACCGGTCCAACATCCTAAAAAGATTAAAAACAATTTATAATAAAAGTTTACAGAAGAGTTTATTGAACTTGCTTATGTTTATTTTTTGTTTTAATAAGTTTCAGTAGAAAAATATCTTAGCGTAATGTTTCCTTCATTGTTTTTATTTAAAAATAAAGGCGGATTCTCACTTGTCAGTTTCGCTGACGCAGTCTGACTGATTCATTATCAATGAAAAATAAAAATCAACGATTGTATTCACACGTTTCATGTTTTGCTACATTCAGTATTCAGTTGGTCCAAACATTTTAACGTGGTGATTTCGCAGACATGAAAATGGTTAAAACAAAATTGAAACCAGGTGTTCGCGAAGTTTGTTTAAATTAGCAAATGAATTACAGAATATTCTGGTGAATCAGAAAAGAAGAAAACTTTTTTTTTAAAGCAGATACGTCTACAAGAAACCGTTGACGTTCTATTTTAACAGAACGTCAACGGTTTCTTGTAGACGTATCTGCTCTATAAAAAAGCGTGTTCTCATAATAGTTTGAATTTAAATATTTTAAATAGTGTTTTTTTCTTTATTCTTTGAATTTTTTTTTGCTTCCGACGATAGACTTTCCGAAACGTTAAGCATTTTGTTCTTTGTTAAGCCAATTTGTATAACTGTAAACATAACTTCTGACAAGCAGTGTCCGTTTAGGTTTAACGCCAGAAGTGTTTACAAAAAATAACTATTTTATTTTGTAGATTTTCTTGCAGTGCAGTGGCGAAATACCCATAAAGGATTTTTTTGGAGATATATATTAAAATAATTAATTAACTTTAACTTGTAAACTGAACAAATCACGAAAATGTAGTTCTCACGCTTCAGTTTCTATTCATTATTCGATAATGATCAGTCAAAAATGAAAAAAGTAGAACTGGTTTTCACTTTAACTGAAAGAACGAATTTACTGATCATTTAACATGAAAATGTGTTCTGACGTTCATTATTTGTTCAGTATCACTGAATCAGTCAGACTGCGTCAGCGAAACTGACAAGTGAGAACCCGCCTTGCTTCCTATCCTTTTTAAGGGTGTATTCCGTTGCTTACCATGGTTATGGTTTTATGTTCCGTTTCTATCGGTTTCCTGAAAGTTTTCTTATTACGGAACACGGTTCCTGAAAAATTCGGTTATAACTGTCCTGTCACCAAACTAACCAGCGCGAGAAGGCTGGTTTTTCTGGTTTTGTTTGTCAATCAATGTCATTTATGTGACAGAAATCAAGCAAATATTGGAAGTTCGAGAGAAATTCTCATCTAATTTCTAAAATTTGTAATATTTTGTATTTACATCCAAAAGCAATGGATGTAGGCAGTAAAGGTAAATAAATTTAATTAACTAAATAGAATGACTTTTTAGGATCATTTAAACTTATCATGCAGCCATTGTTTCTTAAAGTCAGGAACATTTAAAAAAAACATAAAAAACAAGACAACAAGTAATCGTGAATGTTTTGTAAGCTATAAAAATATAAATATTGATTAGATTTGTTTATTTATTACTGATCTGTTTTAATATTGGACCTGCAAATCTTCACTTGGGCTGTCTAACGAATTTAACAGTTTATTAATAAAGTACTTTTCAATATTAAACTCCATTGAAAAGAAGAAGTAAACGTAAAAGCAGAGAATAGGTACATTAAAAATGCATAAAAGACAAATTTTATAATAGTGGTATTGAAATTTACAAAAAGGTTAACATTTGACGTTTCCAGTATTTTACCAAAGCGTTCCGTATCAAACCGATGTCTTTCAGGAACCGCTCTTTACCGTAGTTTGCCGGTCTGGTTCGCCTGATTTTTTAACGGAATACAGCCTAAATTTATAGGCTGTCCAATCATAGTGACACTTGTTAGCATCTGTCATTTTAATTCAAAAGCTCTTTTTTACGAGTTGTTATAAATGTTGAAATGTATCAGTAGTACTAGAAGGCTGTAATTTCCTCGCGAAACATTTTAGGTTCATAGGAACTTTTTGTTTTGTTTTTATCTGTAGAATCACCTAGTGAAGTTAGATTCACTATTTTTTGACACCCTGTATAAGTAATAAGGGTTAATATACATATAGTTTTACTCTTTGAGGAAGGAGCATATCAAAAATCTTAGGTCCACCGCGATGGGCCTCAAATATGGCCGACTTAAATTCCGGTTTATCAGTGCCGTTCTAATTTTATTTAAAAAACGTAAAACTATGATGTAGGGTAGACGTGGGGTAGACTCAATAATTTTTTTTTATTTTACGTTGCGAATAAATGTTGGTAGTTATTAAAATTGTTATAAAAATATAAAATAAAAAATAGATAAGTTATAATAATTATTTATAACCATAAACATCCGATACGCTACTGAAGCAGGTAAGTCAAATTGACGTATCTCAATTCTTTGACATCTAATCTTTGACAAGTAATAAATAAAAGCTAAAATGCAAGAAAAAATATATAATTAGTTAATTTAAGTGAATTTCATAAATGAACGGTAACTACACGTATGTATATTATATAGTCACTTACTAGCGAAAAGTTGTTCCATTTTTTCACCCGATTTTTGCCGAGATCTACCGCACGCTACACAACCAACTATTTTGGAGTCTTTTTCGATAAATCGCGGTAGTGTCACTGTTAATTTAAGTTCTGCCACAATTTCCATCTAGGTTTACTACCTTTAAACAACTATCAGTAGTAGAATAAATAATAAATAACATAAAATAAGCTCCATAAAGACTGACAAATCCACAAAATTTCAAATCAAATTCAAATGTGTCAAATGAATCGTCAAACAGAACTGTCAAGGATCCCCACCCTAGAGTCCTTTTTCCGCCCACCATGCATGAATACATGAATAGCATTATGCTCCTTCCTTAGTCTTCTTATTCAAAGGGTTTACCAGGTGGATGACACTTCTTATGGGAGAACTGGCAATGGTTGAAAACTTGGCTACAAGCGATTTTCTAGGAATCTTCCTTACCGATAAATTATTGACAAGAGTGACAGATAAAATCTTGACGTTCTTTCAGTATTCCAGCTCATCTCTTTTTCTTTCTAAAGTGTGCGTTGAAAGGAGACAAAAACAATTTTTGTTGACCCATAATTTGTTATTCGAACACCACTTTTCTCCTTGTCGGGTCGTTGACGTTGACTTGTCGCCATTTTATTTCTTTTGTTTACACGCTGCATTTTGCTTTGCAAATTTAATACATAAATTATTTAGGCAAATATATAGGTTTTTAATAAAACTCCTCGGACTAACGTGTAGGTAAGTGTTGATAATTTTTTTTTCATCTTAACATGCTCATTGTCGTTCTCCTGATTTTAGGTGACAGAAAAGGATCATCAAATCAAATTGAATTTTATATTTTCCTTCCTATTTATCCTTCCTAAATATCAACGAGATGAGCCATCGGAAGAAAGGGACCATAGTACAAAACAGAAAGGTGATCTTTTTTCTTTCCACTTCGGATATTGAAATTATTATATACTGTAGTCGTGTTCGGCATTATGCTCTGAGAAATATAGATAAACAAAGAACAACAGATATAAAGCATCCCAGAGGAAAAGAGAGGCAATACCTGTATGTACTCTCTCTGATATTTGTGAAAGTTACAGCAAAGTATTGTTGTAAATGTCATCTTTTTGATCGACCTGAAAACTTCGAGCAAAAAGATGACACTTTCAACAATACCCTGACAGATATCAGAGACGATACAGGTTTTTCCTCTCTTTTCCCCTGGAATACTTTTAATTTATTATTCTTTGTTTATCTAGATTTCTCAGAGCACTATGAACGAACTCAGCTTGTATGTTTGAAATAATCGTCCAGTTGGCTTAAAAATGATGATCGAAGACATTTCCCATATAATTTTACTTTCAAAATTATGATATATCTTTTATTTCTAAGCCATCTATGACGCCATTTTTTTCAGTTTTGTTATAATTAATTTTGTCTCTTGATCTACTTGTAACATTATTCTTTTAATTTTATTAATTTATTGTGGTGAAATTAATTTCTGTTGTATATTTGATATTGATATTAAACATATTTTTAAAAAATGGTGTATTTTTTGTGTTTTTGTGTATGTCATAATTAAAAATAAATGAAGAAAAATTTTTTTATTTTTTAAACTTCCCGCCATGCGTGACAATTTAGTCCGTAGTTCCTACAAGCGAAATTGGGGGCGCTAGTAGCAGTAGACTTGTCAACAGTGTCAAATTTAAACGTCAATTTCACTTTCCAATATTTAGCAAGGCGCTCGCACTTCTTCTTGTGTATGTGTTTTGTGGGGTTTACTTAATTTGTACACTTATTTTTTATCTGATTGATTCTAGATAATTGATTACTAAATGGTTAAAACAAGCCTGTTATTTCCCACAATAAACCTATGTCATCAATAAAAAGTTGTCAATAATGTCAGACAGAAAAATCCCCAAATTTCCATTAGAGATAGGGGGGGTTCAATTCATTTTTTGATTAAAATAATTATGTTTACTTTGCACTCTAGTATTTTGTTATTTAGATATTCACTTAGATTTTTATATGTTTCCACAATGAAATGACATACCTTTACTATAGATACATGAAGAGTAAGGGGAAAAACAGACGATGTCACAAAACGGACTTTTACAGAGAAACCTGATTTAATGTCGCTAAATATGTTAATACAGGGTGTCCCAGAAATAAGTGCAAGTGTTTTAAGGGGTGGTAGATCTCGATAAAAGAAACGTATTTTCTCTTTATCGTTTTTCAAATAAGTCCAAAATAACGGAGTTATTTTACTTTGAAAATTTCCAAAAAAAAAGATCTTTTGCTAAAATTGTGAGAACCACTGAACCTTTTCTCGATTTTCTTTCTTGTAAATTTAATCTACTACCTATTTTAGCCCTATTTTCATAAATTTTTTAGCAAGCTCTATACAGGGTCCGGCAATAGTACGTCGGACATCTGTAGCTCCTAGAATAAAAAAATTGAGAATTTTGTTTAAGTGCAGACCTAAAGTATGTACCAGGATGTATTTCCGGAAAATATTTTAACTTCTATAGGGTGGCTCAAAAAAGTGTGAGTGGATCTGAATGATTTTTTTTAAATGGAACACCCTGTATATTATTGCATTTTTGGCTTCCTTTCACATCATTTTACATAATCCTAAGATATGAGTAAATCTATTTCGATAGTTTCAGAGATATTAAAAAATAAATAAAAAATATTTATTTTTCAACCCTTCTTAAAAAAATATATTAAAAATACAAGAACTGTACTGAAATCAAAACTATATTAGATATTTACTTTAGATGGTCTGTTCTTACTTTGTTATAAATATGGTAATCGTAAATCAGACAGGATGTTCAATATTTTACGCCAAACTTTCAAAAATATAAAATAGTTTTTCTTGATTTTTTTAAATGGAACACCCTGTATATTATATTTTTATTTGATGGAGAATTAAAAAATGAACATTTTTTGTATTTAAAGTATTTCAAAATTTTTAATAGTTTTCCGGATACACGCAGTATTATTTCATATGGCGCTTTCAATGGTAAAATACGAGAGAAAAATCATTGGGTGGCTTTCATAAAAATTTACTGTGGAAAATCTCATATGAAATACAAAACCGGGAATATCTGCGAAAATATTTGAAATACTCTAAATGCAAAAAATGTTTATTTTTTAATTCTCCATCTACTGAAAAAATAATATACAGGGTGTTCCATTTAAAAAAACAAAGAAAAATTATTTTATATTTTAGAAAGTTTGGCGTAGAATTTTGAACATCCTGTATGAGTTACGATTTCCATATTTGTAGCAAAGTAAGTACACACTATCTAAAGTAAATATCTCATATAGTTTCGATTTCAGGATAGTTCCTGCATTATTAATAATCTTTTTAAGAAAGGCTGAAAAATATATAATTTTTATTTATTTATTAATATCTCTGAAACTATCGAAATAGATTTACTCATATCTTAGGATTATGTAAAATGATGTGAAAGGAAGCCAAAAATGCAATAATATACAGGGTGTTCCATTTAAAAAAAATCATCCCGATCCACTCACACTTTTTTGAGCCACCCTATAGAAGTTAAAATATTTTCCTGATATACATCCTAGTACATACTTTATGTTTGAACTTAAACAAAATTCCCAAGTTTTTTATTCTAGGAGCTACAGATGCCCGACGCACTATTGCCGGACCCTGTATAATAATTATTATATCAACTTAAATTTTATAATCTTTAAGAGCGAAATGAACTGATCACAATCAATTTGCAATTTTTTTAATTATCATTACTTTTTATTTACTTAATTAAAAAAAAACGTTAAAGACTAACATTACACAGTCCGGGTTTGATTAAACATTAATAACGATAACAGAACGATATTAAAGAAAACGTCTGTAATACTCAAGTATACATACAGAAAAAATATTGTAAAAAATACCCTAATACTTGTATTGCCGCCCTTGGCTGCTATAACTGCCTGTATACGTTCGTTCATACTGTAATTGAGGCTAGATACATATATCATAAATAAATAAATAAATAAATAAATGCCTTTATTGTCAAAAATTTTTTCAATTTGTGAACAAAGGTAAACTAACAAACAAAGTAAAAAAAACAAGGTACACAAACAAACAAACAAAAGATAATACAAAACATTATACAAATAATATTGTCAGTCTTATTGTTAAAATAAACATATATAAATGTTTACAATGTCAAAGAACAAAAAAAATTAAAATAGTATTCAAAAATATTTAGCCAGTTTATAGCAAAATATCAATGACCTCTAAATAAATTAATTTCGATGTCATTAGTAAATATAGCAATAGCAAACATTAGACCAGTGTTTTCAAGATCAAATTCGATTTTCAATTCAAATATAATTCATTTACGGCGTAGAAAGCCTTGTCTAGTAAATAAGAGTTCAATGCTTTGCAAATGAAAAAAATGATGTTATGGATTTGATTTCAAATGGCAGGTGATTGTGCATTTTTTTCGAGTTGTATAGTATTGAACTTTTAACTAACTCTGAGCGTGGGGTAGGTAGATAAAGATCTTGCTCCGCGTTCCTGAGTGGATAAGTGTGAGATGACCTTCCTTGAGAAGCTGATACATGTTTACCTATTAGGAAAATGGATTCAAATATAAATAAGGAAGGAAGAGTCAATATTTTTAATTTTTTAAAAAAGTTCTGCTGTTTAGTCCCAGTGAATATAGAACAGCTCTCTTCTGGAGCCTGAAAATGCGGTCAAATTGAGTCGCACAACACGTACCCCAGAATGGAAGGGCATACCTGAGGTGCGACTCAAAAAGTGCATAATAAACAGTTCTAGCCACTGACAAGTTAAGCTCCTTAGAAACAGTACCTTAATGCAAAACAGGCAGAGCTCAATTTTTTGACAAAGCTTCGATATGTATGTCCCATTTCAGAGAATTGTCCACAACAAGCCCCAAGAACTTTACAGATTTGACGACGTCAATGGTGGTGTTGTTAAGTACAAAAGGCTGCAACGAGTTTTTATACGACAAAGCTTTAGTTTTAGAAATGTTGAGAGTCAGGAGGTTCGAATCGCACCAAGATTTAATGGTGATTAAGTCATTTGATATAATCCTATGAAGTGCCGTGATGTCCTTGTTGTTCCAAGTGAAGCTAGTGTCATCCGCAAAAAGACATATTTTGCCACTGATGTTTATGTTAGCAATGTCGTTAATAAAAAGAAGAAACAAAATAGGGCCTAGTACTGGGCCTTGTGGTACTCCACATTCTATTGGCTTGCTAGAAGACAACGTGGTATCCACCCTCACAAGTTGACTTCTGTCGCTCAGATACGACTTAAACGATTCGAGAGATGATCCCCTGAACCCACAGTGCTGCAGTTTATTAATTAAGATCTTATGATTTACACAATCGAACGCCTTAGAAAAATCACAGAAAATTGTTGCTGTAGAATGATGGTTGTTTAGGCTGGAGTAAACATTATTAAGCAGGGAAAACATAGCGTCATTTGTGGACTTGTTGCTTCGAAATCCAAATTGATATTCAGTAAGTATTTTGTACTTAAACAGAAAAGCCTTCCAAAAGATACCAGCCTTCTTTTAACCAACCTTTCTATGATCTTAGATAGCGTTGGAAGGAGTGCAATTGGGCGATAGTTAGAAGCTTCATCTTTGTCTCCTCCTTTGTGCAGTGGAATGATTATTGCCGTCTTAAGACATTTTGGAAAAATACCATTTTGGAACGACATGTTTATTAAAGTTGTTAGGTGATTCAGAGTGCTTTCTGGCAGATTCGAAAACATTTTTAAAGTTAGCCCGTCTGTCCCAGAAGAGGATTTATTTTTGATGGTATTAATTGTACTGCGAAGCTCTATATTGCGTTATGTTTTCCCATTCTTCTTTAAGGACCAAGCGAAGTTCATTTAATGAAGCTGGTACTACTTCGCGACCTGTAACCCTCCTGCCAAGCATTTGCCAAACGTCGAACATGATGGGCATAGTACCTATAAGGAAACTTTCCCTACTACTATTGTAGTAGTATATAGTTCACAATAATCACTAAAGCCGTCGTGTCACATTGAAAAAGAACTTCAAAAAAGAAATGATAATTGAAAAAATTCCAAATTGTTGGTGGCAAGCTCATCTCGCTCTTAAAAATTAACCAAGGCACGTATTGACATGATCCAAAAAACAAAATGCTTAGAAGACATGGTTCTGACAGTAAAATTATATTTTAGGAAAATTTCCACACGAAATTATTGCACAGGGTGTTTTAAAGTTAAGGTAAAATCAACCCCTCGATTAACCCTGTATAATATGCCAAATACTAAAGTTTATAAAAAACTGAGTTTACGAGTTAAAGTTGATATAATTATATAAAATTTGCTAAAAAAATAATAAAAATAGGGCTAAAATTAACAAAAATATAACACTTTAAATTTGATCAAAAATATCTCCGTTGCGTTTTTTTTGGCATCTGAGTGTATTTTCCTTCAAATTAAATAAGTCATATTTTTCGTATCTTAATATATTATTTAAATTATTTATGGAAAAATTTTGCAGAAATACATTTCTTCTAATCGAACTGTTTTAAATAATATGTTAAAATAACACATTGAGACAAAATGGTACTTACATGTATGTCTAATAATCAATAACAAATAACTAATGCTGCTGGTCAATGTCGCTATCACCAACCTTAAGACCGCTAAAATGAAAGTGAATGAATATTGTCATTCGTTTAAGAGAACCCGCCTTCGACAAAGAACCACTCTTTCATTTTAACATCGACTTTTGGTACGTAGCGGTACTACTGTAAACATTGATCGACCGCAAAGTACGTTTACAATATTTTTATGTGGTATTTCCGTTATTTTTGGGTACTTTTTAATGGATAGGGAATATTATGAAGAATAGGTACTCTCAAAAAATTTGTATGATATATTTTCTAGGAAAACATAATTTAATTGAGTTTCAAATACCGGGTAATATTCAAAAGTGGCTCACTCCTATACTGTAACACCCTCTACTCTATAGCCGAAATGTTTCGCGAAATATTTCTGGAAATATTTCGTGAAACATTTCGCAAAAAATTTCTCGAAAAGATGGTAGATTAAATTGACTATTACTCTAAGTTTACACAAGAATATTTAGTTTTAATAATTGTAACATGCGGTGCATAACTACAATTCTCGACTCGAAATCCAAGTGTATTGTATGTACCAAATTATTCGTAAAAAAATGCTTTTTCCAAATATGCTAATGAGCCATCCTTGTCCCATTTGAAAAAAAAAATGAGATATGATTAAAAATACGATTTGGGCATCTTTTAACGGACCAGGACACGACACGACACGAAAAACATTAGACGATCAAATCTATTTTTCCAAAGCTCCTTGATTAAAAGTTAGTGTTTTTAGCACACCTATGACACTCTCGATTGAATATTAAAATACGATTTTTTATTAACCGAAAATGTCATTGAAATTTAAAATTTGATTTTTTTTGAAGTGAAAATGTTAAAAGTTGACATATGATATGTCATTCTATTCATAGTGTCATTTTCTATCAAGTAAAGTAAATATATACCGAAGCGAAGGTGCCATTTAAAAAACAAAAGTTGTGCCTAAAAAAGTTGTAGGGGTGAGCCACTTTCGAGACGCACCCGGTATATAATTTTCTCAATATTGGTTAGTCAGAGTTAAAAAACGTGAGATATATTTCATTTATAATTAACATTTTGCGACAGATAATAAATCTAGGTATAATCAAATTTCCTATTACTGTAATTTTGCTAGGAAAGAAAGATTTACAACAATGAGTGTATTGACGTAAAATAAATGAATTAAAAACCTTCTAGATCCCCACGATAAAGTAAATAAGTTCATACCCAATATATGATTAATTTTGTAGAAAAATATTATACAGCGTGGGCAGGGGCGGATCGTGAATTTGTGGGGCCCTGGGCTGAAACTACTTAGGGGCCTACATAAGTACTCAACTAATAGCCATATCAAAAAACTGTTTCTATAATGATATATTATTATTCTTCTTCTTTACGTGCTATTTGAAATAATGAATCAACAATGTAATTTATTTAGTTATTTATTTTTGATATTATTGGTATTTCTAGTAACAAATAATTGTATTTGTAGTAACAAAAACATTAGAATTTTTCAAAAATATCAACATCCTTATCGTAGTAATAATACTCTTGGTTATGCTCTACTTTCATTCGTGGCTTTGAAATAATAGTTATTATTTGGTCAAAGGTAATATAAGACACATCATTTTTTCGTAGTTTAAACTTTCTGCTACTATTACGCACAGATCTCAAGAAAGTTACTAGGATTTCCCCATCATCATTATCAACACCTGTCTGACAAGTGGCAACATATCTGTAAATAAGTTTCTTATTTTGAGTAGGTACTTTAATTAATAGAAATGTTCCAGATGATATTAAATTTGGATGCAAGTTTCCTTTGTCTTGCCCGTAATATGTACCAGCTTGAACATTGTTGCATGCATCCCTTTCAGTCTGCTGACGAACTGAAATAGTCATTAAATCGTCTTCATTGGATGAAGATGAATCATAAATAGATTTATAAATGTTATATCTCTTCTTGACTTTCAAAAGGTCTCCTAAATCATCTACATCTATGGGATCTTCTATAAGTTCAGAAGATAATATCGACGATATACAAGCGGACTTGGTTTGAACTGAGGTCACATTAAAATTATTAGAAACCATGGATAGTTTTAACTCCTTGAGAAAACACTTGTATCTGACTTGTCTTGTAATTGTGTAGTTAATGCTTCACAAAATAAAAGATTTTTGCGTACTTCGGGAGACATATCAATATCTTGTATTAGGGCATCTACTTTGCTGTTGGGTGTTAAAGATATAGGTTTTACTTTTGCCTGTTTTCTTTCTAGTTTTCTCTTTAAAGACTCAATTTTACGTTTCATTTGGACAATAGTTTCTTTTTGCTTTTTAATTTTACGGTATGCTTTGGCTCTATCTTTTCGAACTATTTTTCTTCCTACTTGTTTTCTTATTGAAGAAGTGGCTCCCAAATCATCATCTGAGTGTGGCGGTGTATTGTTTATTATGTTTGTTAAAGCTTTTTCTTTTTCCTGTATTTTTCGAAGATTTTTTCCATTCTTTTCTTTGCTTTCGTTTCTCCCGCTCTGTCATTTCAGCAATATTCTTCACTTTCTTTTCTGCTTTTTTCTTTTGATAGTATGCTCTGTCTTTAGCCCTCTTAATCTCTCGCTGTTCATCTGTCATCTTATCTAAAAACTTTCTTTTTCGAGCGTTAGCGTGTTCTCTTTGCCGCAAGTAGGCTGCACTATTTTTTTTCAGTTGTTTTTTTGAGTTTTTTTTCATTATTTCGGTCTTGTCCGACTCCATATTGCTACAAAAAAATATCATTAAAGTAAAATATCATTTTCAAGTAATTTCATTACAATATTGTTCCGAATTGAATGAATCTGTCATTCCGGGAACGTCATAATCATGTTGGGAACGCATCATCATGTCCGGGAACGTTCCCAAAATGATCGTTCACGAAATGACGTTTTCAAATAAAAATGCGTTTTCTATTAACGGCAGCCATCATATAAGCCATCTGAGACAGTTATCATAAAATATTTGAGGTTACTTTTGCTATACTTCATTGAAATAATCATTTTTCTGATATTGCAAACTAATACAGGCTTCCCGGGATGATGTACGCTCAATAAATAATAAATAAGAAGATACTTACCACTAATTCTTATTAATATTCACTATAAATACACGCGACAGCCGCCTTGATTATCGCCATATACAAAGACTGCACACTAGCGCCAACCCCCAGCGTTCTTAATAAATTGTTTTTGGCTAGTTAAAACTGCGTTCACTGAAATGATGCAATTACTTCCGGACAAAATATTTTTCCTTCTATATATTGGAAAAAAAAATGATGTTTGTATTTTTATTGTAAAATGTTAATATAAGATAAAACTATTCGATCATAAGTTATGAATATATGTAATATTGTTTAATTTATAGGCGTTCTTAGTACTTGTTTCTAGGGATCGTTACTTTAGGATGCGTTCTCGAAATTACTTTTTATGTACATAACTTGAAATAACTTTAAATATTATTTACATTTAAAGTATATTAAATAATGTACAGATAAAACGAATAAATTAAATTTTTATCAAAATTTAGTTATTCAATAACTATGCGATTTTTGCAAATTATACTGTGGCGAAGCGAATTTCGCACCTTCGTGATTTTGACCCACCTGTCTTCTGGAGTATTTCGTAAAACACAATAGATTTATAAGGTCGCAGTGATTAACTCCCCTCCTAAACATTCTACATTCTACAGCTAACAGATACTCCTGGCCAACGCCTCTTTGGTAGTTCCCAGTAGCATAGAATCTTAGTGCTACGGGAATTCTTTGTTGATTATTCACACGAGATGTTCTATATGCTATGTTATATTGGCGAAGTTCTTTGAACAGATGGTTTACCAAATCCTTGTTGACACGATAAAGATGAATAAAATGGGTATCTGGCAATGAAAATGGGTCGCTTATATCCCGATGCCTCCTATATTCTTCACGAAGCTGCTCTAAGTGATTTTCGCGTTCCATCTGCTGAATAATTAAAACTCGAACAGGCAACATATTAAATTAATTGACTGGAACTTAACGCCAATAATAAATTTCAATTCATTTCAAATTAATAAAAGATAGGTAGACGGAAAATTTAATAACTATGATTAGTTCAACTGACAAAGACATAAAAAAAGGTTAGGTTAGTTTCGTTTCTGATTTTATTGCTCTTCTTTCTCTAAGAATTTATTTTTGCTACGATGCCAAGTCTACATATCGATAGCGATAAGAGGTTCTTATAGAATACATCAAGCAAACAATCTCGCTATCGCTATGCTTCGTTTTCGCTTGCTGTCGCTATTCAGACGTTTATTGTAGAATCGCACCACCGGAGCTGGTGGGCCTCGATGTTGATGTGCTGATGGAGCCTCTCTTCATGTCTTAAGGCATATTTCCTGATAACGTTGTCGACATCATACACTTCTAAGTCCTTATGTAGATTGCCATTGCGAATATACCACGGTGCGTCAACAATATCTCGTAGTATCTTTCCCTATACCCATTTTCAACGGTTTTCTTGTTAATCCGTATTTTTTGCTTTAATTCAATTTTTGGCAGAATCGACAATATCGTTTGTGTTTTTTAAATTAAAATAATTTAGTTAAAGTCGCGAAATTGAATATAATTAGAACATACGAACAAAACAGGAAAAAAAAACAAAAGTGAAAACGTATAAAATATAACATAACATAGCAAAACAAACTTATAACATTAACAGTGGGGCATTAATTAACTAGTGGGGCGTTAAATAACACTAGACGTTAGTGTATCCCTACAATAATAAAAAAAGTTAACTCAATAATCAGGGCCGCCGCTAAGGTGTTAGCCGCCCGTGTGCAACTCAAAATTTGCCGCCCCCTTATATTTAATGAAATGAATAAAAATGGCCTAGCTTTTTTTGACATACCTACATATTATGTGTACAAGGTGCGTCTGAAAAGTGGCTCACCCCCCATTTTTTTTATTTTTTCAGATAAAAAAACGAGATGTGGATGTCTATGACATAAATTAGAATCGATTGACGTATTCAATAATTATTTTTGACCACTTCCTGTTTCACCGGAAATTACGACAACTTTTGATTTTTAAATAAGACCCTTGGTATTTTTTTACTTTATTCGATAGAAAATGATAC